ATCTCTCCATGGAGCTTCATTTCCAGTCACCCATTGCTTATTGGACATTTCAAACTAGATATCCTAGAGACATCTTAAAGTCAACAAGTCTAAAACACAGTTAATTATATTTTCCTCTAAACCCTCCCCCTTGCTCCTTGGAAGGAAAGCTATGGCGAATCTGGACAGTGTACTAAAAAGCAGAGGTATCATCTTGTTGACACAGGTCAGTATAGTCAAAGCTATGGTTACTCCAGTAGTAATCTATGGCTGTGGGAGCCAGACCTTGAGGAAAGCTGAACACTGCAGAATCAATGCTTTTGAATTGTGATGCTGGAGAAGACTTTTGAGAGTCCCTGGGGCAGCAAAGAGATCAAAACAGTCAATACTTATAGAAATTAATTCAGGCTATTCATAGGGAGGTCAAATACTAAAGCTGAAGCTTAAATACTTTGATCACATAAGGAGACAATGAGACTCATTGGAAAAGGTCTTGATGTTGCAAAAGATTGAAGGAAAGGAGAAAGGGACAGCAGAAGATGAGATGGATGGACAGCGTCACAGAAACAGCAAACATGAACTTGGACTTTGAGAGATAGTGGAGGATAGAAGGGCCTGGCGAGTTATAGTCCACAGGGTCACAAAGAGTTGGATACAACTGAACAACTGAATAACACCCCTCTTCCAAACTTCCCTATTTCTGTGGAAAACACCATTTTTCTTCCAGTCTCCAGGTTCATAACCTGATGTCTCATCCTCCCTTCCTTATAGGTATCAGTTGCCAAATCTTTTCATGTCTGCAGTCACAGCATCTCTAGTATCCATCCCCTTCTCTTCACTCATGAATCCACCACTACCCTAAGTCAGGCTCTAGTCACCTCTCACTTAGACTGTTGCAACAATGGTCTCTCTGCCTCAAGTCTTCCTTACTCCAATCCATACTACATGGTGCAATCAAAAGGGGTTTTCCTTAAGTGAAAATCTGACCAAGTAATTCTCTATTCAGCCAACTGTTCTATTGTCTCTAGGATAAAATACAAACTCTTCTGTTTAGCTCTCAAAGTCCTTCACAGCCTGGCCCCTGTCTATCTTTCCAGCCTCACTGGCTATATCTCTCCCTCTCCCACCCCCTGTAAAATGAGTGTTGGGTTTTTAGAATGGTCTCTAAGATGGATTTTAGCATTAAATCCATGACCATATGAGTGGTGTTAAAAAATGGAACTGACTTTTGTGAGGTCTTTGAGTGATAGAAGAGATGTCAGAGGGTTCATTAGCCCTATCTCATCATTTTAGAGATGAGGCTTAGAAAGTTTTAAGTGACTGTCCCAGTGTTACCCAGGCAGCAGGCAGCAAGCTTCCTGTCACTGAAAAGAGAATGCTATGGAGAAGTTCTTGCATTCGGGAGAGAAGCCAGACTGGGTGACATCTAAGGTCCCTTCTGACTCTTTGTCCCACACCTTCCACCTCTGTCCCTGTGCGTTCTTGTCGTGTGCTCCCGGGAGGATCAGTGGTTTGTGGGTTGCTGCTGAAGACCAGACCCCTAGAAGTCCCTAGTTGAAAGTCCAGGCCTCCAAGGCAGAGGCAGTGGCTTTCAGTCTGTGGGGTTGGGTCCAGGTAACCCGGCAGTGACTCAAGTGGCTGCCTGCATCTGAAGAGTGGCTCTGTTAGCTTCTTGAGGTCGTAATCTCCTAGTGTAAATTTACACTGGGGCCCCCAAGCCAAAATATCCGAAAGGCTTTCCTTATCCTTTGTTAGCCCCTGTATAAACAGAGCTCTTGTCTCCTTTGAATGGCGGACTACCTGGGCTCTGGGCTCTGTTTGCACCCAAGGAGGGAGACAAAGGCTTCGAGCAGCTGCAGGGTGGAGCTCCCTGGTCCTGGCCCTGGCCCTCCCTTGGCTCTCTCCAGCGATTTCCACTCAATCTCCCTGTGCTGATTAGGGCTCTCAGCCAGCTCAGTCTGGGAAGTAGGTTAGCCCCGATTTTAGCCCCTTCCCCACTCCCTTATTTAAAGAGGGCCTTGTCCCTGCAGAGAACTATTTCTCTGGGCCTTGGAAGTTCCTGATAATACTGAGCAAACATCCGTGGTTGAGTGTGCAGAAACAGCTCCATCTCTTTGCGACTGAGATTTGCTTTGGTCTTCACTCTCCATTCCTTGCAGAGGGTTGGGGTGTGGGTAAGGGGAGTCACCGTTGGAATTCCAAGACTTGTCAGGGCCAGCCTTGGATGGAATGGAGAAGCAAACTTGGCTTTGGCCCCTCTTGCCTTGCCCCTTGGTCTTCTTCTTGTTTATCTTTAGGAAGAACACCACGTTTTTCTTTTTCAGGGATAGTTTTAAACTTCAAGATCCTAATTTAAGTAGAAATGATTGGTTGGCGCTCCCTAGTCCAAGGGTCCTCTCTCCCCTTGTAGAATCACAGGGTTGGAAGGAACCCTAATGGTCAGCTAGTTCACTTCCCTAGTTTTTACAAATGGGGAAACTGAGGTCTGGAAACAGACGGGAAGTCCTGGTAAGGGCCAGGACTAGAACCTACTGTGGAAAGAGCTCCAGAATCAGAGGACCCAAATCCACTCCCATTTCTGCTACTTATGTGTGACCTTGAGCAAATCTCTTCGTTTCCTTGAGGACTATTTCCTTCATTTGTAAAATAAAGGGGTTGGGCTAGTTGGTGAATTCTCCTCCAGCCCTAAATCTGTGATCTCACAAACCCACACCGTCTTGTGTGGCCTTCTTCCGCCTCAGTTTCCTCTTCTGTAAAATGTGGGGGTTGGTCCGGGTGGCCTCTGAGATATCTTCCAGCCCTACATCAATGGTCTTACTGATAAACTCGCCTCCTCACCCATATCCTCCAGGGTCTCTCCCCTTTCCAATTTTCCTTTGCTCTCCCTCCCCTTGTTCCTCTCCACTCCTCTCTCAGACAGCAGCACCCCCACCCCCCAGAAGTGGCAACAACACACATTTCTAGAAAGTTTTTCCTCACATTCTCCTTTGATCCTTACAATAGCCCAGTGAGGTAGGTAGCGAAAATCGTTTTTTAATCCAGGGCATGTTTCTAGCACATAGTAGGAGCTTGTTAATTAAGTTCATCCATGTTTGATATCTCCTGGTGTGGAAATTCCTTGCATCTATGTAGAACAACTAACTGCCCTACTAGTTCAACTGTTTCATTATTTGGGGTCTTTGTCTCTCCCGTGCCTAACACAGTGCCTGGCAGCTAGTAGGCACTTCATGATCAATGCTTCCAGTGCTGGGGAGTTGCCTAGAGGCAGTGGGAGGTTAAGGGGCTTGCCCCC